TAATATATGACTTAGTATCTCTATAGCTTTTTCTGCATGCTCCCTATAATAAAGTATATGTTGTAAGATTAAATTAAAGAAGAATTTGTACGTTGATTGGAAATGCCATATCACAAAGAACTTTGAAGTAAAATAAAACCATGCATACTTGGCATCATTAAATCTTCCAGAACTATATTCCTGTACATAAGAAGCATACGCCAGATCTTCGTGTCCTATGGCAACATAAAGGTTCTTGCCTCCAAATACCGACTGTCGTATACCAAGAGCCATCTATAAATATTTACCACAAATGTTTGACATTCTGTGACAAAAATCTGTTTTCAATGAGCACCATTATTTCTAAATTGTTTCTGTGGTTAATTTGGAACTGAAGTGTCAGAACCATAAATATGACTAATGTCATTGGTCAATGAGGACATCCTCTGATATCATTAATACAGCTGCCAAAAATTTACAGATATAAAACAAAATTGTTTTATTTTCCAAATTAATCCATAAAACTTAATCCCTATAAATATTAATGTGACCAGTATTACCAAAAACTGTACAAAATGGTCTTCACTGACAAAATCTAAAACAGAATTTATTTTTTTCAGCCTATTATATTTGAGATGCATGAATTTCCTGCATACCTGATATACTTGAACAGCAGCAGTTATTGAATCCACATTTAATAAATAAAATCCATAATCCAGCAATGCATCAGAATACTTAGGGTGTTTATCTCCAAACTTCTCTCTAGAAATATTGAACATCCAACTCAATACACAGAAGATGGGTATTTAAAAGAGAAAGAAATGCATGAACAACAGGATTAAGTGTGATACCTTACCTCGCATAACACACAGCATGCTTTACAAGAACTTCAGCCTTGGAAAATTCACGTTTCACAACACAAGCCTTAAATAAAGAAATATCATGGGAAATTCAAATATTATTTTATTTCAATACTATTCAAGTTTAATTATTTCTTCAGTATTAAAATAAAAGAAATTTTAACATGCTAAATAAGCAAAATTATTTGTAGAAATGCTTGCCTTTTTTCCTTTTTACAGGAAAGAATAAAATGTTTCTTACCTTTGAGCACTGTCTTAATACATCAACAATAGTCTGAAATAAAAATTGTGACTTTCCAGAAAAAATTGTCAGACAAGGAAACTTTGCAAAATCTAAATGCATATCCTCACTGTCAGGAATATGTTATGACTGAGAAAAATGAATAACTAGGGCGCTTATTTACCTTGTTTGGTAATGTCTTGGATAATGCCTGTATAGCCCTTGAACAAAATTTTATTGCCTGAAATATACAAAACAAATGTGTATTTAAAGGTAAATTTTTTGTCTTGTTATAATTATTTCTCAATATACAGTACATGAATATAAAGAATAGTTAAATGAATTTGGAGAAAATAAATGACATGTATTTACATGCAGTTCAAATGTGTGGTTTTTACATATCTTTATGCACACAAATACCTTTTAAAGGTAATATCTATCACCATGTAATGGCACTTACAAACTGTTCTTACCTCGTCATACTGACATTCGGCAAACAAAAGGGCACAGCACTCTGTGTAGAAGGCTGCCGCATTGACGGGTAAATTCAGGGACTGTAACTCTTCTAGGGTCTGTCTGGCTATCTGACAAGTCTGATCAGCCGCAGTGTATTTGCAGTTAGCATTCTGTACGTGCAGTAGCCTAAAATATAAGATTCCACAGTACTGATCAAATAAATTACTAAAACATCCTTTTTCATTTTGCTTTTATACAGTAAATGCACATACATTCATTTTCTCCATATGATAAATACTTTCTATCCTAATTTTAAGATTTCTATTTATTTATCACTTTTTAATGTGCGAAGATGCCCAAAAGGCCCTGCAGTCCTGCACTGTATCAGAAGAAGGAGAAGTCTTTTCTATTTTTAGTAAATGTACATGAACACTGTAAATACTTACCCAACACTGCATTCTAAAGACTTGTGTAAGTAAGCTTTATCCATCTGACATAAATTAAGGCAGGCTTTATATACTGTCTCACTGGCCGAGAACCAGCCCGCATCACAGAGAAAACCACCTACAAATAAACAAGTTGGTCAATCACATCAGGAACGTGTAGATACATTACTGTGCACATACTATTGTAGCAATGTCAGGCATGCACGAGTTATGGCACTTTCCCATTCTGCTCCATGCTTAAGTCTATTGTTTGGAATCAAAATCGTCGATAATCAATCTGTTTATACAGTACAATTATGTAGTCCAAATATTTTCTTTTTACACCAGTTATGTGAAAGGACCAAGTCAAAACTAAAACACTAAAACTAACTGAAAACCTAGCTGTATAGCTCTATCCCTTACCTAACTGAAAGCCTAGCTGTATAGCTCTATCCCTTACCTAACTGAAAACCTAGCTGTATAGCTCTATCCCTTACCTAACTGAAAACCTAGCTGTATAGCTCTATCCCTTACCTAATTGAAAGCCTAGCTTAATAACTCTGTCCCTTACCTAACTGAAAGCCTATCTGTATAGCTCTGTCCCTTACCTAACTGAAAACCTAGCTGTATAGCTCTATCCCTTACCTAACTGAAAGCCTATCTGTATAGCTCTATCTCTTACCTAACTGAAAGACTAGCTGTATAGCTCTATCCCTTACCTTATTGAAAGCCTAGCTGTATAGCTCTATCCCTAAAAGCCTTACCTAACTGAAAGCCTTGATGTATAGCTTTATCCCTTATCTAACTGAAAGCCTAGCTGTATAGCTCTGTCCCTTACCTAACTGAAATCCTAGATGTATAGCTCTATCCCTAAAAGCCTTACCTAACTGAAAGCCTAGCTGTATAGCTCTGTCCCTTACCTAACTGAAAGCCTAGCTGTATAGCTCTATCCCTTACCTAACTGAAAGCCTATCTGTATAGCTCTATCCCTTACCTAACTGAAATCCCAGCTGTATAGCTCTATCCCTTACCTAAGGCCATGTAAAATTAATTCCTTGGTTCTCAGGCCTTTTTTCAAGAAATATGATGAGGGAGGGAGGCATTTTTTTTTCACTTTTTATTGCCCCCAAAACTGATGAGGCAGCTTTTTACATTGTACAAAACCTAAGAAAATGATGAGGGAGGTGATTTGTTGTTTTTATTTTATTGATTTAGCAATAAAAAGGGTCAATGAGGCACCCTTAAAAGAGATGAGGGAGGGCCTGAGAACCAAGATAATATTTTTTTATAGCCTAACTGAAAGCCTAGTTGTATAGCTCTATCCCTTACCTAACTGAAAGCCTAGCTGTATAGCTCTATCCCTTACCTAACTGAAAACCTAGTTGTATAGCTCTATCCCTTACCTAACTGAAAACCTAGTTGTATAGCCCTGTCCCTGGCTGAGACATCCTGACATGTGGGGGGAGATAACTGTTGAGCGAACGTATCAGCGAGGATATCAGACACACTGGCTCCGTGGTCCATCAAGGCCTGGAAGCAGTGGTGCAGTAAGTGTCTGTAAAACAAAAAGGCTGAATCAAAATCTATACTAAACAAGTCTAATCCTAGGCCATTGAAAGTGCTGGATTATGTAAAATCTGGTTTTACAGTAACAAAGTTAATGTTCATAATGCAATATTTTTAAATTTACTGAAGAGTATTACTTATCATTGTGGTATGTTTGATTTTTTTTTTCAAATATGATGCCTATAAAACACAAAACATTTAGAAAATATACCTTTTGTCATTAACCTTTAAAACTCTTGCAAATGTGTCCAACTCTGAAAATTCCAGGGCTAGCTGGCATATTCTTCCTTTGTTATACAACTACAAAATAGATACATTTCAGTGAATACGGTAACAGCATTGTAAAATTAAATGTGGAATTTATTTACAATAAACATTTTGAAATATAAGTGAAAAAAAAAATTATCATATAGTGATACTGTGTTATATGAAACATGTGTTTGAAGACAGGAAGCTTTGTGTAATACTGTTGCCCCAATTTGAAGGATCATGGAAAAGGACTCTCAAATGCATGTCAAACTCTCAGTCAAGGTCAAGAGATCAAAAATAAAAGTACATGTACTCATAGAAAGTCATCATAAGGAAACAACCTATGAAATACAAAAGATCAGGCATCACCAGATCAAAAGTTATGGCCAAGGTTGAAGTTTTTCAAAAGTAGGTCAACCTGTAAGGTCAAGGTCAAAATTAATGGTGCTTAAGAAAAGGGTCTTGTCACAAGAAATATACCTGGGTTTTATGAAAGTCCTAGCACTTACTGTTCAAAAGGTTTTTAGAAGTAAGTCAAGTTAAACATATTTGTACCCAATGGAAACTTAAGTCTTTTCACATGGAATACCCAAGTGAAGTATAAAAGCCATTGCGCCAAAACTTAAAAAGTTATGGCCAATGTTTAAGTTTGGTAAGCTCTCTGCTTTATCTGTCCCAATTTTTCGAAGCAGATCAAGAGCCACAGTTCTGCAGCTAGAATCAATTTTGCAAATTAAATCTTTAGATAATCATTTATTTTGAGAATTGAGACACCAGTAGGATGGATAAATCTAGACCAACAAATTTATAAATAAAATACATGATTACTGTCTTGAAATATACCTGGTATGTGATAGGTGGGCAAGGGTAAGAAAATCTGATAGAGGATGAGGTTTCCCCTTTAATATCACCTAGAATTTGCGACCAGGGGTGTGCGATAACAAAAATAAGTTACTAGCCCGCCACGCTAGTGGCAGTAACAAAGTTACTAGCCTGAGGTTGCCAGTTACTAGCCCATTAACTACCGAAAACAATACATGTTCAGGTATAACATAAAGGTTAAAAAAAACATTTAAGTTGAAATAAAACAAATAATGGTTTGCGCTTTATAATTGTCAGGTAATTCTCCCTATTTTTATCGACTATAATTGTCACTGAAACGACTGGCGATAGCAACACATAATACATATATGTTAAAACTAATAAAAGATTATGATTTTACAAAAAAGTTAATTGTACATCAATAATGGTTCGCTACCGATATACAGAGTGAATGCTCCTGGCAGAGCTCTTATCCGAAAGGTGGCGCAACGCTGGGTAGTTCCGGTGCATGGCGTCACGTTTAAACAATACTGTTTACAAACGCTTTCCTTTCGGCTTCACGAGAAGAGTTAACAATACAGTACAGGTAAGAAATATTTAATCCTCGAATGAATTATCGGTATTATTGAAAGTACACCCGGGGGTAACGGGACTGAATCACTGATCATCTTTACAAGTTTATTGTGCCTATGTATCGTGGGGCCTGTACCATGTGTTATATACTGCTATGCATATGCAGTTTCCTAGCTGACATGTTTCGTATAATTCTGGGCACACACGGAAATAAAATAATGCAGATTGGCGTAAAAATTAATACGAGGGTATAGAAAACTGGTAAAATATATATTTAATTGTGAAAATGTTGTTACATCCCTACATTTTATTTTCACCGAATTTTATGTCATATATACATGATATACATGTACAATACATAGTAATATTTACATTTGCAAATGTTTTCCTTTACATAACACTACTGAAGGCAAGCGTTTTTATAACTGTGTAAATACAGGTTTGGGGTCAAGAGGTCATAGATGTGCGTTTGGATAAACAGAATTTCTCCTTTAGTGGATTACATACATGCCGTTGGGTTTGAAAAATTAACGCATTTCATGTTAAAAGTAACAATCAGGCAAATATAAAGTATGAATAAGTCACAAATGTAAATATAAGTAGTAAGGTATCATTTTTTGAGTTTTATTGAGATGTAAAACGGGTTGACACATGATCAAATCTTCCATAAAGCCCTTCGGGCTTTATGGGATTTGATCATACATCTCAATAAAACTCAAAAAATGATACCTTATTTCTTAAAAAGTTTGCAGGTAATGCCGGTTATTTTGAAAAGCCAATATTGTCAGAATGCCTCAGTATTAATCAATAGACAAAATAACAACATATTGTTTAATAGAATATATGTAAATTAAAGTGAAAACTAATGCATATATGTATAAATTATTTGCAGAATGAGTGAGACAGATTCTGATACAGGTGATGCTCCTGTAACTCCTGAAATACTTTTAAAATGGAAGAAATCAGATCTTCAAAAATGGTTAGCAGACAAAGGTCTTAAAAAATCTGGAAATAAGGACATTCTAGTGAACAGAATAATTAGAGTAATGAACTTTGGTGAGACAGATATTTCTGCCACAAGTGACAGTTCAGATGGGGATGATGAATATGTTCCTAATCCGTCAAAACTTAAAGATGGGTGGGCAGAGCTGACAACGGAGAATTGTCCAGATGTTAAGGAAGAGAACATTCTTAATTACTTTATCTATTCAAAAGATCCTGTTTCAGGTAAATCTAAAAAGTGCAAAAGGCAGCTTAAAAAGGCAAGAAGACTCTGTGATGAAAATTTTCTTGGAAATATAAAAGTGAATAATGTTAACCATACATACAGTTGTATTGCAGCAGAATGTAGACCAAGTATGAGACATTTAGTAAAAATAGAAGGAAAAAATTATGACCATTACAGCCTCTATGTTACCATTATTAAAACTGGACAAATTGAAATATCCTCTTGTAATTGTAAAGCAGGAAAAGCTGGATTTTGTGCCCATGTTGGAGCCGCCTTATTTGCTGTTGTCAAAATAAAAAATCCCTGTACCTCAGGTGATTGTAAGTGGAAAAAACCCAAAGAAATTCAGAGACCGCCAAGTCCAAAAAGATTACAAGACATCAAGTTTCTCACATCTGATAATCCACCAGTGAAACCTTATCCAGATGTATACATGTCCGGCCCGTGTAAAGATCCTGAAAATTTTCTTAAAGACATACTGGAAGGACTGGGGCAGGCTCATCCAGGAGCTGTTCTTTACCAAACAATGTGTGCGAGGACTGCAGACATAACACCCTTTTTAAATATTTATGAACCATCTTTCATGTTTATGGATAGTGTTGATTTAAACTCTGCAGTGTGTCAGTCAGAATTTATTGACTTTGTGAACAGGTTAGAAGTACCTCCCTTAACTGTGTCTGAATTAAACAATTCAACACGTGGTCAAGCCAACAATAAAAACTGGAAAGAAGCCAGAACTTGTGTATTGACTGCGTCTAATTTTGGTTCTATTTGTAAGAGAAAAGAAGAAACTCCTCCAGAAAATTTGGTCAAAGTACTCTGTGGGTACAATACTCCACCAAACACTTCCAGTATTTCTCATGGTAAAAAATATGAATGTAAAGCCCGTAGGCAGTATGTACAGAATCACAGAAAAAACTGCAGAGGTGATGTTTTTGTCGAAGACATGGGACTGTATATTAGCAACAAGCATCCATTTTTGGGAGCCAGTGTTGATGGAAAAGTTCAATGCTCCATATGTGGAACTGGAGTTGTTGAGATCAAGTGTCCGTATGGGAGAAAAGAAGATAAGTGGAGAAAAAAACTTCCAAAGGAATGTGCCAGTAACCCATCATTTTGTTGTGAATTGCGTGATGAAAAGTTGTATCTGAAAAGACAACATAATTATTTCTACCAGGTTATGGGCCAGATGGCAGTATTAGATATCCAGTGGGCAGATTTTGTTATTTGGACCAAAAAAGGAATTTCCACAGAAAGAATTGAATTTGATCAGACTTACTGGCACAATAACATGTTATTTAAATTGAAATATTTTTATACCAGAAACATTGTAGCTGAAATTTACACTCGCAGGGTGAAACGTGGAAAGCAGTTATATTGACTGATCCTTATATCAATGAAAAGGGGCAAAATTTGTAATACATGCTTTGTCATATATTCATTTTTTTGTCAGAATTGCATTGATAATAAAATAGGAAATAAAGCACATGATATTACCAGTTTATTAAATCACAAAAGCATTAGCACTATATGAGTTATACACAGTATTGTTTTAATAAGTTTATGAATGATTCAAACAACTCATCTAAGCAGTGGTTCATACAAGTTTGTCATGGCAGTACAAATTAAAATAATCTGCTCTGCAAGATGTGCTTCGGAGAGAGGCAAAATAGTCTGTAATATCTTAAAGTTTTTTATTTGCTCCATCTTCATCTCAACAACAATTCTTGGCTGAGCAATCTGTTGAGTTTTGAAGAATTCATCTGCTGTCATCTGCTTTGATGAGGACACAAATGGTGGCATGTTTAGTCCAATATCACATGGTAGCAAGTCGGCAATTGTGAAGCCTTTGTCGGCTAAAATAATGTCGTCACTTTGAAGATGTGGTAGTAGTAAGTCTCCATCTTTCTGCACAATATGACGATCAGATGTGTGACCACCCCAGACTCTTGACACAAATGTAACTAAACCATTTGGTGCAACACCTATTAATACTTTAAATGTGTTATGATGTTTGTACTCACTCCAAGTTAAATATTGTGCTGTCAAATTTCCTGGTTTTTCACAAAAAAATTCTGTGGCATCAATAACAATTCTCACAGTTTGCATTTCAACAAATGCCTTTGGTAAATTTGCTAAAATTTGCTCCCTTGTTGGCCAAGGTATCATCCCCTTGTAATGGTCATACATGAAATTTAACCAAGTATTTAGAATTCTTGAAACAGTCATGACTGACACAAAAAACATATCAGCCAAATGTTCCTGCAGCATGCCTAGTCTTAGCCTTAGACAAACCATATAAAATTCGTCGATGGGTCTCAATTTTCTTTTCCTTCCAGGTTTAAAAAAATTTGGGTCATTGTACTTCCTATTGTCACCATCTATAGAGCGCAATTCCCCTTCCCAGTATGTTAATCTATCTCCGCCATGTTTCATTAGTACATCAAACATTAATTTAAATGTCTTGTAATTCGGAAAACCAGTGTAAAATCTAGTTTTGTCATCATTTTGGAATATATCTTCAGGTTTCATCAATGGAAACTGAGCTTGGATTTCAGCAGTACATGTTAATTTAACATCTGATGAACCAACCTGTATTTGAGCTTCACAGCTGCTGTTAGATCTACTTGTATTTGCACTTATTTGTTCATGTTGTGTGTCAGGATCATGGTTTTCATCTTCCTTAATTGGTGGTAAAGTTTTATTTACTGGAGATATTCGCACCAGGGGTCTACGTTGAGTTTCTGGTTTTGCATATTTTAGGTTCAGTTTAGTAGGCACTGATGATTTAGTACAGATGTTATTATCAAAATGTAAATTGCATATTCTAGTATTGTCTGAGATAGGAGCATTTGGGCGAATGAATCTGATGCGCTGAACCCAGCTTTCCCTTCTTTTCTTATCACTTTCACTTGAACCTGCTGGAATTCTGTGCAAGGTAATTTTTTCATTGTTTTCAGTGACTTGGCCCTGGTAGTGCGAACACAAAACGCAATATCGACGTCCACCACCCATACATGGATTGACCTAAAGTTATAACATCACACGTGAAAATTTGCTTTGATGAGGTTTAATAGTACTACTATTATAATAATATAGGTAAAAATGTATACGCATCACTTTATAAAATATTCAATTTATTAATTTAAAGTCAGAAATCTGATTAAATTAAAAGTATTGCAGCCGATTACACACATCATGTAACAACTTCTATTTTTAAATTTGGAATTCCCCCAGCACAGATTTTACACAAACATACGTAACGTTTTTATTCTCCAAATTCAGAATTTCTTGCTAATGATGTTTGAAAAGTACAGTTGATGTGTATTCTTTTGCATCTTGCCTTATTGTAACACCTTTTAATAATCATACTCAAATTTTCTTTACCTTGTAGTTCGTTATATTTGACTGAATACACTGAACGTAGTTTGTTTACAGCAGAGCCAATCGAACCGGAACTACCCATCGATACTGAAGAGCGGAGTAACGGGGAGTAACTCGGTATATCGGTAGCGAGCCATTG